TTACTGTTTGTTGTCAATCTGTCGTGCAAACGTCGGAAGCTATTTATATTTGTATGCCAATTGATGACCAGTTGCAACTGTCAAAGACTGCTTAATGTCTGCTAACAATTTGTCATCGACATGGGTGACAGATACGACCGCAAATAATCACCATTTTGTTGCGTAAATGTCAAACAGATAGTGTTGTAGTCTTGCGTACGAACAGTTTACACGAATGCACGAACAGATCTGCTTGGCGTTTGCTGGCAATCTGTCGTCAATGCATTCAACAGATCGACCCTATTGCAGTCACTTTTCTGTCGTAAACAAATGCTGCTATGGTTTTGCGGACTGTTTGGTTACGGTATTCCTTAAAGCAGAGCTGCTTGTTATCAATCGTTTATTTGTCGTCAACTTCATCGACATTTATGTATTTGATATTGATACAAATTCTCATGTATATTGCCGACAGAGTTTGTTGCGTCTTTTGTCTTCGTGTGCTAACAGTTTTAACAGCACCAAAACGTGTTTCCCTTTTGTAGCGTTTCAGGAAACAGTTTCTGTTTGCCAAGTCTGCGCAATTAGAAATTGTTTGCGGGGTACCAACTTGCAGTTATATAATCTGACTATAACATGTTACTAAAATGTTATATTACTGTTGCAGTAGTAACTGAAAGGTTATATAACAATTATATAGATTACTAAAATAGTATATAACTGCGATATAAATTAATTGTTAATGAAAGTGTTATATAATTATTCTTTTATTTGTTAAAAAGTAGTACTATATTTATTAAAAAAATGGTCAAAGCTCGAAGCATGGATGTTTTTAGGATTGACTGGTCAATGCACGAAACAACCAAGCGTCTTGGTAAAAGCCCAAAATAGTTTTTTTAGCGTACTTTTTATTGTACGCTACTATATCGTAGTGACATATATAGAATAGATTAGTTAGGTTAGGTTAGGTTTTCACGGGGAGGAAGTGCCCGCCCACATGTTACGATAATATAAGATACAAAAAAAAATTTTATTTGTCTCAAATGTCTATTTGAGCTTTGACCAAGACGCTTGGTTTCGCGTTGACCAGACAATTCTAAGAACGCCCGTACTTCGGGCTTTGACAATAACATGTTCATAAAATCATCACGAGCAGTGTTGCAAACTCTGGCCGGCTAGCACTTAGACCATATATACTTATAGACGCGGCTTCAGACAACTATCTTGAAGCAAAGATAATATCTTCTACATGACGTCACATGTGGGCAAAGCAAAGGCGCGTTTATAGACGTCTTCAGATAACTGCCTTGAAGATAAGATAATATCATCTACGAGGCCGCGTTTAGTTGAACAATTGCTGAAATGCCCACATGTGACGTCACGTAGATGATATTATCTTTGCTTTACCTCGACTCGTGGATTCATATCTACAGGCCGTGTCTATAAGTATATATGGTCTAAGGGCTAGCACCAAGAGCACCGAAGTGTTGGGAGTCACTGGAAGTACGCACACAAGCGAAAACCGTCGTCCGTGTGCGTAACGTCACGCTCGGCTGTCGGCTCATAGAAGAGTGCAGACGTATTATGTTCCGTCTTCTTTCCGTCTTCAAGCCGGCTCAACAAGATGACAGACGAGGCATGTTCACGTTAAGTTGCGCGCTTTTTGCGTATGACAACGTGAAACGCTTTCCCGAGATTAATAATCTTGGAAACAATACGTGATATTATTGATAATGATAAAATATCTTAAGATGCATAATATATTTAAATAAAATATATTAATAGTGTTCAGTTTTAGTGTTTTCTTTTTACATATTTTTATTTTGTAAATTACGAAAAAAATCTACATTTATAGATGCGTAATCTTAAAGTATAAGTTATTTCATATAATTATGAATGTAAATTAATTAAATAATTGATATCATATATTATATGAATTTAATACTTTAAGATTATGCATCTATAAAATTTTGATTCTTTTCGTAGTTTGCAAACTAAAAATCTATAAATATAAAAACACTAACAATAATATAATAATAAAATAATTTTGTACATATTAAATACTTTTCTACAAACGTTTTACCGTTCATTCATATTAATAAGTAATACAAATATATTATGCATCTTAAGATATTTTATCATTATCAATAATATCATGTATTGTTTCCAAGATTATTAATCTCGGAAGAGCGTTTCACGTTGTCATACGCAAAAAGCGCGCAACGTAACGTGAACATGCCTCGTCTGTCATCTTGTTGAGCCGGCTTGAAGACGGAAAGAAGACGGAACATAATACGTCTGCACTCTTCTATAAGCTGACAGCCGAGCGTGACGTCACGCACACGGACGACGGTTTTCGCTTGTGTGCGTACTTCCAGTGACTCCCAACACCTCAGTGCTCTTGGTGCTAGCCGGTCAGACTTTGCAACACTGATCACGAGACTGTTCTTTTTCACTTCACTTTCTATAATAGTTTGTATTAAAGGTATCATATCCTTTTTTTAATCAATATATATTTTCACAATCATACATATCTTTTTTTTTATATAGAATCTTCAAATTCTATTCACCAATAAAATCACTCAATCATATCTATATAAATTGTCACATTACAGTAACGCAGACATAAACTTTGTCATATAACATGTTACATTACATATACATTATTGTTATCTTGTTGTTGCCAGTAAGTAACAAACTATATAATTATTTAATTACAGAGTTATATTGCATAAATAAGAGAAAATTATATAATCCCAATAAAAATCAAGTATAACAACTGTTACATTTATATGTTACTCCCATGTTATGTAGCAGTTATATTTTGTGTTTGCTGGGTATATATATATATATATACAGGGTGTCTCAGAATTGCCGTACAATCTCTCGTAGGCAGGTAGAAGAAGTAAAGCTGAGTCACAAAGTCCTGAACCATTTTTTTCTATTACATATAATGAAGAAGTAATTATTTAATAAATCAAACCAATAAGCGCCGACCTTTAGCGCACTTCAGTAAGCCGCGCGGAGCGCTCACGCACACCAGGCGCGTGATTCACTGATGTGAGTTCGGCTAAAGGTCGGCGGTGATTAGCTTGA